GCACAACATAACAGAACGTAGCATAACACAACACAGCACAGCACAGAATAACACCGGACAACCCAGGATAACACAACATGGCAATGCATGACACAACACAACACAATACAGCACAGCACGACATAACACAGCACAACAAAACATAGCACAGCATAACACATGACAGCACAACACAACATAACAGAACAGAACACAGCATAGCACAACAGGAGCACAGCACAGAATAACACAGCACAACAGAACATAGCACAGGACAGCACAACAAAACACAAACCAAAACAGAGCAGGGTGTACCTGAAGCAGCGGGCACAGTACAGATCTCTGTCACAGGTGTGGCAGCGGATGCTGGCGTCCTGATTGCAGATGCAGCACCACGGCAGCTCTTCATCATCATCATCATCATCGTCATCATCATCCAGCCGCCGGATCGGAGCTGCAGCAGCTGGAGGCCTGGATTTAGACTTCTGCATCGAGGGCTTCAACACACAGAACACAGAATGTGTTTATCTTCTCTCTGACGCACTGCTTTTCTATCGTTTTTCAATGTAAACACGCACTGGACGGATGTCACACTCATGTCTCAAGTCTTTTAAAGCATCGTGCACGCAAGTGTTGCGTTTTTGTTAGACGCTTGCAGAAAGATCTTCAACTTTCACACACATCGAAAGCTCATCACTGTCCAAAAGCAGTGGACCAATCAGAAGAGCTCAGAGGGGGAGTAAGCACTGCAAGCTTCTGTTTATAGTAGAAAGTTGGCATGACAACTGTTTTATTCATTCATTCATTTTCTTGTCGGCTTAGTCCCTTTATTAATCCGGGGTCGCCACAGTGGAATGAACCGCCAACTTATCCAGCAAGTGTTTTACGCAGCGGATGCCCTTCCAGCTGCAACCCATCTCTGGGAGAGATACACACATTCACACACACACTAATACACTATGGACAATTTACCCTACCCAATTCACCTGTACCGCATGTCTTTGGACTGTGGGGGAAACCAGAGCACCCGGAGGAAACTCACACGAAGACAGGGAGAACATGCAAACTCGCCAACTGAGCCGAGGTTCGAACCAGTGACCTTCTTGCTGTGAGGCGACAGCACTACCTACTGCGCCACTGCCTCGCCACAAATGTTTTATTGACCTTTATATCAAGGCAGAGGAGGCACTCATTGTGGCTGTGTCCAGGTATCCTGAGTTATATGATGCATCATCAAGTGCTTATCATAACAAAATGTTTTCCTATTTCTAATGGGCCCAGTACTGTTGTTATTAAATCATGAAAATAATATCACATCATGTGGACTTTGCGCTATGCTGAGATTTTTTTAAATATTCAATCGCATCAAGCATTTTTAGAAGCAAATATGCATCCGGTGTGAATGAGGCCTTAGCCTCTAAAACTCTGCTGCTATTTTGGGATTTTCATCTATATTTTGCCTACCCAAATTTAAAAGCTTCCCAAATCCACATGCAGAGGTGTGAATGCAAAAATTTGGAATCATTTTAAAGAAAACCCTTTGAATTTTCATAAAACACTATTGAAAGTGTTTAAAATATCTGTATATGTTGTCTGTGTTGTAATAAACACCTAAAAAAAGAGGCGCTTTTTGTATTTTTTTTTTAATTAACTTAAATTTGAAAGTATAATTTTAGGTTGTATGTGGTCTAGCATGCTGTAATTAATGTTGGTGGTTCCTGCACATGTCTGTAATCATAGAAAAAAAGAAAAATGTCTCCACCATAATCTATGCTGAAGTTATTATATTCCAACTGATGAGAGGTGCTCATCAGTGCTCACTATTCTTTTGTTTGATCAAACATAATTCACTGTGTTTGGAGCACGTCAGACATATAAAAGGATTACTTATGCACATCACCTCAAAAACAGAGGAGAATGGCCCTGAAGCACACAGCATAAGGTAAGAGATGACAGCTGTCTGTGCTATCTGGGGCTGCTTATTGATCATAAATGTATTGCTTTCACTTCTGCGCCATGGAAACACCGCGATTCATTCAGCAACTGTTTGATATGTGAATATAATTCAGTAAAAAGAATGCTAGAACCGTATGAGCACCGGCAAGAGCTTTCATTTGAGCTATAACTTGTACATGTGTCATATGAAAAATATGTCAAATGAACCAATGTTCAATACCCAGCTCGGGTATTCAAAATACTGTGTATTTAAGTGTAAATAACTTTTGTACAGTAGAATAAACACCAAAGTGATGCATATGTGCATAAAATATCGATTCTACACTTTCAAATTAAACCACTAATGGGGGTCTGGTGCAATGCTAGCCCTTTAAATCTTAAAGTGGAATTCAATGACGTCACGGGACCCGGTACAGAGTTTAACTG